ACTTTTGCCGCTCAGCTAAATCCCCAGCCCCCATGGCTCTAGGTTTAATCACCAGTATAACAAACTGGAGGAAGAGAAGTAGGAGGAGAAGGAGAAAAAAGAAGAAGAGGAGGAGGAAGAAAGGAAAGAAAGGAAGGGAGGTCACGTGAGCATACCTACAAGATGCCCTTTCTCACTGCGCAGAGCTCATTAGAATTTTTAGCAGGATCTGGGCCGGGGACATAGCTCAGCCGCACAAGTGCCTGCCTGGCAAGCGCAAGGTCATGAGTTTGATTACTGGTACCAAAAAAAAAAAATTAGTGGAATTTTTAGCGGGATCAACACTATTGCACATAGAGGAACTTGGGGATTTGTTTGTGTGTGGACACATCACTATTACTCATCAGAATAGGCTTTCTGTGTTCTACAGCAGCCTTTGAACATCTGCTGTCTCCATGAACTTGCTCCCCTAGGGTCTCATAGCTGCTCTCGCAGCCTCTCCCACAAGCCATGTTCTGAAACTACCACTGTGAATTAACGCTCACACGACAAAGTGTAGCCATCTCCACCCAGTATTACGTGGTGCTATTCTGAATTTTTAAACAATGCATTGACTTCAGTTGCTGGGGAAATGTGAGGGATAGCTCTGCATTTCCATGTGTCTGGATCCCAGAACCCAGATGGTAGAAGGGTTTATCCCTCTCCTGGGTGTGCTGCTGTTGTGGTTATTTATTATGGCTCTGATGGGTCATTTCATCCTGCCCCATTTTAATTCTCAAATTTATAAAGGTCCTTGCCTGATTTTAATAGGAAAAGGGAGGTTAATTTTGATTACCTACTTGGTCTTAAACACTCAATAGGAAAGTATAACCAGGGAATGAAATAGTTAAAAGCACAGAAGTAAAAAACGTGTGTGGGGGGATCATTGTCTCTTCCTCCGTAAGATTAGGGAGGCTAAGGTCTCTCAGGGGGAATGACAAAGTCATGACATAGTCAGGGGCACCTTAGGGATGGGGAGCTGGTAGAATCCTGGGCTCCTACCTGTTCCTCATTAAAAGTATGATTTATGTTTTCTTAGGGATTTAGAAACCATTTTTGCTCTACACCACAGCTTTTCACTTGTGTGTGAAAATGCCCAATAGGTAACTAAAAGCAGAGCAAAGCTTGACCTTCACTTTGTGTCCTTTGTTCCTGTAAATCTCAGGTCAGATCCCTGCTCAGCTCCCAGTGGGGTTTGTTGAGCATTTGGGAGTGTCTGCCTAGGCGCTGGCGGACAGGGTCGCTAGCCCTGAAGTCACAGGATCCCACCCCCCTTCAGGACGAAGGACACCAAGGAAGAGGTTTAGCAGGACATTTAGCTGCACCCAGAAGTCTCCAGTTATTGTCCTAAATCTGTGATCACCTGGATTCCCGGAAAGGTGGAGCCCCACACTTGGCTGATAACACCACAGGCAGAGACAGATTTTCCTGGGAATGGAACGATCTCTCAGCCATGAGGATTCCAGAGCTATGAGACCAGGGCTGAGGTACAGATCAACTGGACCCTACCACCAGCGGATCCTTGAAAGCTGGCCTCCCGCCTTTGCCAGTCTGGACCCCCATACCAGTGTGCACCCCTCCATCAACCTAAGCTGGATCCTTCCCTATCTTCCCTCAAATAAAAAACTTTTTCCGTTAAAAAAAGTTCATAAAGATAGGAGGTATGATGCCTACTTTTCAGACAAGGTCACTGAGGCACATAGAAGTAAGGTGATTTTCCTTCTGTAGCGGAGTTTGGGCAGTGCCCCTTACCACTCTGTATCCAGCTGTCTCATCCCCTGTCAGGGAAGGGCACCCTCTGCTGCCCTCCCAGGGCTGCAGGGACCATAGCATCTCCCCCAGTCCACCTCTGTGACCACCAAGTGCCTCCTGATGCCTGACTCTGATCCTGTCACCAGACCCATCTATCGAAACATTTACAGCCTCACTAATGATGAATGATAACTAGCAGATGTAGAGATTCTTATCAACGCTTTTACTCGTAATGTTGCTGCTACTGCTACATTATTACTGTCCTGTTCCACACTCTTATTTTCTGAAAGTTGATTGACGGCTTCTGCCTCTCACCTTCTCTTCCATATTCTTTTCCTTGTCCCCAGGAGGGTGGAGACCAAGGCCAAGGTTGCTGTGTCACACAACTCCATGGCTTCTTCTGGCTTGATGCTTTTGGCATGATGAGTTTTCTGGGGACTGTCAGAACCCCACCTGTGTACAGCTCCCCAAGGGGCCAGGTTAACCATCCTGTGGGCTCCAGGCCTGATAAACAGGGAGGAGCGGCTGTTCATTAGCGTCCAATATGGACATGCAGGAAGAACTTTGACTTGGGAGGGGCTGTGATGTTTTTCTCACCTGATAAGAAGGTAAAAGCTGACTCTAGAGAGGGTTGAGGGCTCCTCAGGGCTGTTCCCCAGGCTGCTATCTGCCCCTAGATGAGCACTGGATACCACCTTTCCTGACTGAAGAGATAGAGTTTCAGATAAGATGCTCCAGCTCCTGGAAGATCCAAGCTGAGGTGAGCCAGGCCCAGCTCTAGGGTCTGCTGGAGGGAATGAGAATGGGCCTCCAAAGCTTGAGACCTTCCAAGTCATCTAGTGGGCAGAGGATCCTCATAGAATCCCAGACATGAAACATGCAGTTCATTCCATGGCTGTGGGTGAAACCAGTTCTGCCATCCTGGTCCAAATCATTCAGACCAAGTGTTATTGGCCATACACAGTCTGCATATAAGGGAGCAACATTTTCTGCCATGATTAGACACAAGGCTCTCTAAAAGGGACACTCCAGCTTAGATGTTGCCAAACAGATCTGTCAGATGTTCTCTGTTGCAGAGGTAGCTGCTCCTCCCCCAATATCCATCTTTCCTCCTTGTTTCCTTAGTAATAAAGACACATGGGGGCCTAGCAAAAGGGATTTTCCACATTCCCCTGCTTCCCCTGTGGCTCCATGATTCCATTTTGGCCAGTGAGATATAAGCAGAAGTACTGTGAGCCATTCCCAAGATGTGTCCCTGATTCCGGGGAATCCTTGCCACATTTCCTACTTCCTGTTGTCCAGTACGTGGACATGGAGATGGAGCTCAGGCAGCCATCTTAGATCAACAGGTGGGAGCCACAAGAGTCACAGAGCAACAACATGGAGGGAACCTGGGATCCTCATGATCAGGAAGCTGTCAAGCTCACCTAGGACTTCATGCCACCAGACTCTGTAGGAGCGAGACATCAACTTCACACTATAGGACATTTCCTTTACTGCTGTTGGTTACTTTCAACTAAACACAGTACTACACAATAAGACCTCTCAGACCCACACAAGGTAGGTGTAGCTACAGGGGTCCTCCTTCTGATAAGGCAGGAGAATCAGAGTCCAAGGGGGAAATGTGGCCACAGAAGCAAAGGTTGGAATGATGTGATCTGAGGATGAAGGAAAGGGCCGCAGCAACAAAAGGAACCCTCAAAGCTGGGAACCACAAGAAAATAGGTTCTCCCCTGGAGCCTCCGGGGAAACAAAGTCTGCAACACCTTGATGCAAGCCCCGTAAGACCCACTGTACTCCTCTGACCTCTAATGCTGGAAGACCATACCTGGTGTTGGTCTTAGTCACTGAGTTTGGAGGAAGTTGTCCCAGCAGCAACAGGAAAGTCATACAGGGGTTTAGGAGAACTTGGCCCATTATAGACACAGCCCTCTCATGAATACAGCTTGAAACATCAACATGAACTGGCACGTCCAGTTTGTAGATTTATGCTGAGTGGCAGAAGAGTGTCTTATTAAGTTAGTAAACAGCATCAGAATGTTTAAAAGAACATGAGCTCTTATATTTATATGTTTAATTAATTAGATTTATAGGGTAATTTAAATATCATGGAAGGTTTTGTTAGGTCTCATGCAAGTGAAGTGTTTTTTTAAAAACTCTATGAATGCCTTGTAAAATGTTTACGGGAATTTAATTAACTGTGTTTGTAAATGCCTCTGATTTTTAAAGGGATTTTTATCTACTGATATTCATGTGATCCACCTGTGATTATCAAAATTTATTGGGTCTATGAGCAAAAGAAAGACATGGATATTGAACTTGAAAGCTTTAGAACAATTGTAGGTTTAGGGTTTACAACTTATCCTGCTGAGTATGAATCGGAGAAATCAACATAACCACAAAGAGACCTTTGTTGTCCTCAGTCTTGAAGGTCTCACACAGATAATCACCACATCCATCACCATGGATGATGGTGTGGAAAGTCATGCACTGCTCCAAGTTGGGCTTGAGACGCGTGTCTTTGAGTAGTTCTGTCATTGTGCAAATGGCATAGAAGGTGCTTACACCAATATGGAGGCACAGCCCACTGCACACTGAGGTCACATGGAGCATGCGTGTATGTGGAATGGCCTACTGGTGCCAGCATCAGGATGAACAAAACATGAAATTACTTCAACCGTAAAGGAATGGTACAATCTGGAGACCCAGTAAATACAGGATGTGTGGTGTTTCCGCCAGCACGGTATAGGACTCTGCCTTGTAGTAAACTGTGTGTGTGTGTGTGTGTGTGTGTGTGTGTGTGTGTGTACTGGGGATCGAACCCAGAGCCTTTACACTGAGATACACCACAGCCCTCTTTTATTTTTTTTTAATTTTGAGACAGTGTCTCACTAAGTTGCCCAGGTTAGGCTTCAATTTGCAGTCCACCTGCCTCAGTGTCCTGGAGTGCTAGGACAGAGGCATATGCAACTTTTTTTTTTACTAAATAGAAGCACACTTTAAAATAATGATTAAAAGTTTAGTATAACAAATACATGAGCCAGTAACATAACCATTTAGCATCATCATCATTAAGCATCTTGCTCTGTACATCGTTGTATGCCCTACCCTTTTATGTGACTGGTAGAAAGTAGGCTTGTTTACACCAACATCACCATGAAGATGGAAACGTGTTGGACTAGGACACCATGATGGCCACAGTGTCACTAGGAGACAGGAATTTTTCAGCTCCATTATAATTATGGGAACACCATCTTATGTGGTTTATTATTGCCAGAAATATCCTCATGTGGCCTGTGACAACATAAAGTTCAGTTGGGGTATATAATACATGCCTTTGGCCAATGGCCCTGAGGAACAATACCTAATGATGTGGGGAAATAAGAGATGGGATCAAAATATATTGTGAATGGTTAAATTTCCTAGTTGCTACAGTAAAAGACACATTGGCATAATTCTACTCAAAATCACTTTGAACACACTTATCCCAGGGTAGTTGTTTTCTGAAGCAGTTCTGAAGTCTTCCTTTGTGGGTGTCCTTAGTTGGGCTGTTGTAGCTGCCCCAATGTCCTAAATCATTTTGAAATGTCTGCCTTCTATGGTCATTTTTACTTTAGGGAAGAGCAGAAGCACCACAGTGCTGGATCTGGTGAGTAAGTAATGACCATGTGAGCTGCCTTTCCCACGGGTGGCATTAGACACCTGCATTTGCTGTAATTTTTATCATACCTTGTAAAGACACTCACAAAGGAGGATGCCCAGAATGAGTTCAGAAATCAGGAAAAACCATGGGTCAAGTGTGTTTGAAATGAAGGGGAGGATTTTGAGGGAGATTAGTACCAATGTGTCTTATTGTAATCAGTTTTTTAATTTAAGCATTCACTACATATTTTGATCACCTCTTGTTGAGGGAAAGAGCAGCTGGTTGCCAAAGAAGACATGGCACAATCACAATAGAAAAAGTGGGTGCCCCTGCATAGGACAAATCAATAGAATGGAATGGAGGTACACATTAAAACACCTTACATCTCATCTTTGTTCTGCTTTTCTGTATTTCTCAGTTATCCCAACAGTGACCCTGTGTTGTTTGTTGCATGGGTAACTAGCAGGGCTGGGTCTAGTTCATTTCAAACACACTTATCCCAACAGCACTGTCCTGAGCTCATACCCCTGGCCAATAGGGACAGACACACTCCCTCAGACATGCACAGATACACACACACACACACACACACACACACACACACACAAATACACACACACTCAATTCCATCCACACCCACAGCATTTAACTTTGAGTCCCCAGCCCCCTGCAGTCACCCCTTCAGCTACTTGCTGATTGAGAGGTCTGTACTAAGCGATACGGGGAGCTACACTGTTGAGGTAGACACTGGCAAAAGGACCAGAGAGCCATGGGCTGGCTCAAGATTCTGGATGAACTGACAGGTTGACACATTGCCCCACCTGAGGGCTTTGGGTAAGAGGTTCTTTGGAGTTCATGTTGTCCAGGTCTCATCTACCTCCTGACCCTGGGAGCTCTGGAGAGGGGTCACCCTCTATCCTACAGAGATGGCCACTCATTGCCTTTGAGGGCTCCAGCTTCATTGCTGGAAAGTGCATTGGTTTTCTACTGCTGTGTAACAAGTAACCTCAAACTCAGCATCTTACAGCTCATTTATTAGAGCTCAATTTCTGGGGGCCAAAAGCCCAGCAGTGGATTAGTTGAGTTTTCTGTTCTGAGGCTCCCCAGCATTGGCCAGAACTATGCACTCAGGTGGAGGGGTGGCTGAGGAAGAATCGGCTTCTACACTCACTGATTTCCTTGTGGCTGTGTGACCAGGGGCCCATCTTCTTACCCCTCATAGCCAGAGGCTCTTGGGTCCTAGAAGCCACTGCAATTC